GCGCAGTCTCACTTTTTTTTACCATTAATGGTTAGCTACTTATATTGTTCCATTTATTAACATTAAATAACATTACAGGTACTTCAAGCAACCATATTCATTTTTTTACATTAATTTTACTACAGCTAAACTCAGGGTCTTATTTTCTTCAGTTTTATATGTAGAACCAATCAGTCACTGGTTTCGTAAGCTTTAACATAAACAATGCCGGCAGCCGTCTCGTCTCCTCTAATATTCCACGTATTATTAATAAATTGTATTGTTAATTTTGCACACACGTACATTAATTCAATAAAAACAAATTCAGAAACATTAATTAAAATATATATGAACAGTAAATAAGTGTTGCTTTCATATTCTTATGTAAAGTAATGACGATATGTTTTCACGTGTGCGCATGCGCACTTACATATGCGATCTCTCTTTTTCTTTACCATTATCGTTGGCTACTTCTATTGTTCCATTTATTAACATTAAATAACATTACTTAAAACAACCATATTTATTTTACTACAGCTACAACCAAGGTCTTATTTTCTTCAGTTTTATATGTAGAACCAGTCAGTAACTGGTTTTGTAATCAACGAAAACAATGTTGTGTCATTTCCTCATGTGTTTTAATTTTCTACGTATTATTAATGAATTGTATTGCTCATTTTGCACACATAAACATTAATTCAATAAAAAAGACATTCAGTAATAAACAATAATGAATCTTTTGTACATAAGAGAAATGACGCTGTTTACACGATTATGCATGTCGTCTGCACGTTGGCGGGCCGTTCAAACCCGTCGAAATTCAAGTTTCCGCCGTCAAAATTTTTATTTATTTATTTTTTTGTGTGTTCCAATAAAATACGTTAAGAATTAAAAACTCGCGAAATTTGAGAAGCTACTATACGACATTTAACCCTTCAATATGTCTTCAAAGAGACCATGACGCAGAGAAAATGGTGCTAGTGCTTCCAGGCATAAGCACAAGTCACTATCTATCCAGGAAAAGGGTGAATTTCCATGGTCCGGCACCGGTCAGGTCCCGAGGTTGCCGGACTAGAGAGGTACAACCTGTACTGATTTATTTGAATATAAACATGTTGTAATTCGCACTTGACATAACAATTTTAGTACCGTAATCAAATTAGTACATGTGCACTCCAGCATTGCACTAATTTATTTTACGTTTCTTTTAGTATGGTGTGTGAATGTAAATGGATGAAAATAAATGAAGAAATTTCTGTAAATCTACCCAAAAATACAGTTGAAAAACTTTTTATAAAATGTACTACAGTATTGTACACTAATGTACTACATTTTTTATATCTTGAGCAAAATATATGACGCTTATATTCAAATTAATCTCTGTCTTGCAAGGATTTCAGCAATGAAAATTATATTGTCCTAACTTTAGTCGGAGATATTATATAAAATAAACAAAGAAATCACCATTCTTTTATCTTGGAACACGAGGGGGGGGGGGAGGTGAGGTGACAGAATGTCTGGCGTTTGTTTGTTTGTTTGGTTGTTTATTTATTTATTTATTTATTTGAGATAAGATTTCACAGTTGGCGCTGAAGGCCTGCCTGCATGTTTATTTATTATTACTTAAGATTGACTAAGCTCTTCTCATAATTTTCCACCCAAACGACCTGGGTAAATATAACTTACATTGGAGGGATTCTTGTAAGATAGTAATTTATTTGAATGTTTTTTTTTTTCAATTTAAATTTTAATTGTTTATTCCTTGATAGAGGAAGCGGGATCCTTGTGCTGTCACTTGGTATCCCTGTACCATAACACCAGAAGCAACTGGCCAGTGTCACAAGTATATACTGTACAGTACAGTACAGTCATCCCTTGGTTATCGCGCCTAATTGAGACCCCGCCGACAACGAAAGTACAGAACCTATGGGATTTATTCTAATTGGGTCAGGCACCCAAGACCCAACCCCAAGGTTCCCATTTTACGACCATTTAGACCCACTAAATATATATATAATGTTATGGTAAATATCATAAACACACATAGGCATGACTAGGTCTATTACAAAGTGATGAAAAGGGTACGCTTAATACTGCAGTCCACAAAACATGTAGCTATGCTTTTTTTATTTGGTCCCCGTCATACGAGTCCGTTTTCTCTCACATCAGGACGCCTGAGTCCTCCGTTTTCTCTCTTAATCTTAGAGTGCACCAGAAACTTTACTATTTTTAGTAATGCCATAGAATTTGAAAATGCAACCCCAATTGCAATTGGGGGTGCAATTGTTGAGGCAACTAGATATGTCTGATTACAGCAATGTGTTATTGTCAATTTGTAGGTGAAATATTTTATCATCAATAGATGTAGGTTAACATTTTGCCTGTAGGCAAATGCTTAAAAAAAGCCTAAGTAAGGAAGCATATTCCTTTAACACATAATATCTGACCAGTATGGGGAGGATCATCGTGTCTCCGTCAGGGGGTCGTGGAGTGGTGGTCCAGCAGGCATCACGTATATGCGATTGGACGTTGTTCGGTCGGAAGTTAACCAGCGCATGACTGTATATCCAGAATAACATATAAACACCAAAAAGCAACCTTGAAAAACCATAAATGGTGAACAATTTGGGCCAAAAATTTGTGATCACTGGGATTTTGTTCAAAATATCAGTATAGGTACTCCTGAACATGTTGATTCAGAATCTATGGTTAACAATTCGATTGCGGGGTAATTAGTGGTAGTAATGATTCTTGGATGATTTTAATGAAATTTTTCTGAATGCTATTTACTGTACTAGCTAAGATCGGTTGGGGTTTTTGTGTTCTTCTGAACGTACTAAATTATAGTAGTTGATCCCACCAAATTTCACCATTAATTGAAGAAAAAAAATAAGAATGAATTATTATTTGAGCACATCCACCTTGTGTCACTGCTGTTCTTGAGGAAAAAAATCACTATTAATTAATAAAAAAAAAAAAATTATGACTGAATTGTTGGATAGAATGCAACTTGTCCAACCTATAATATGTTTATTAGAGTCGTGAAAATCAATGTGAGGTGATGAGGTGGTAGTGGCAAGTGTGTTTGCCCACTGCTCCACACCCAGTCCAGGATGAAGGCTAAAGAATGTCCATTGGTGAGTCGCAGGCAAATTATCGGTTTGTGCACGGCTGGCTACAACATGCCATAAATGAGAGGGAAGTTGGAGTCATTGAGATGTTAGTTAACCCGCTGGGAGTATTTTTGATGATTTGCTGACATTTGACAGGCTATTGAGATTCTGTATGACCTGTGCTGGTAAATATTAAAAATAAACATGATTTTTATCCTCATATTCAATATTTCTCCTCATATCAACGTTATTATAAATATCTAATTACTGTTACTGTATTTAAAACCTGAACAACCTGAAAAAATAATAAATAAGGAAATGGATGCACATTATAATAATGATAAAATAAAGGTCCTCATCTATTACTCTTTTAAGCACAGTGAAAAAAATTACATCCATCCTTCCCTTAAGTGTTTCATAAATTTCCCCCATTTTCTTCAATCTTCTCCTTCTCTGATGAGCAACTTCCACTACATACCACCCTCCCACATCCATCCCCCAATTCAACCAATTTCCCTTCTCCACCCCACGTGACTTACAGGACTGTGCAGAAAGGACCAGGTCAGTTTCAGGGGTTAGGTGGTGGAGTGAATGATTACTTTTGGCTGCAACTGTACCTTACTTCTGTATAATGACATACAACCAGTGAAGTATGTAATATGTTAGTCCACGAATGTTTTATATGTCAAAGTGATGAAAATGACAAAGTGTGGTGGTTAATAAACAGAGATGCACTATTGGAGATGCTGTCACACTGATAAAATCAGAAGAGTGCAATAATGATTGATAATCAGGTGTTTATACGACTCAACCTGACCACTCAGATGGCTTCAAATGGTATAATGATCAATGTAAGTATCCTTATTTATTTTGAAAAGCAGATCAGTGTATTTCCCAAAGGCAGAAAAATGACAAAACTTGTAAGTTATGTTGACAGTTGTTGAGCCTCAACCCACTGAAGTCACATGACTTGGGAATATGGTCATAAAGGGGCAACCAGCTGAATGAGGGTAGCAGAATTTCATTGCTATCACATTTCATTGACTGATAGGCCAGCATCAGTTTCCAATCCAAGATGGCAATTTTTGGACCACATGTTAACCATTTTAGAGTACTGTACAATATTTCTTGATTATCGAACTCTTTCAAGACCAGACCAACACTGGCACAGGTACAGATAAATTCTGGAGCCAGTACATGCCAACAGTGCATAACAGAAGTGAATGACTGCCCAAACGGCCAATGAGCAGATCAGTGGCAAAGAGGATAAAGTATAGAATACTTTATGGCTTATGATTCTTTGTAATCACTTCTGACATGCTACTACAAAAGCCATAAATCTGTACATATTGAGGATAAATGAGGCTTTTCAAACAAAGTTCAATCCTTTGAGAAAAAAGAATTAAATCATATCATCCTATTAAGTGCAACTGCAAGCACATTAAAACAGATATGGTATTTATCTCCCATTGTCATTTCACACATTCGTTATTTACCTCCAACATACCTGTATTCATCATTTGGACTACAGTAATTGCTGTGAAAGTATAATAAGTCAATGCAAATAGCTACAGGTAAAATGAAAATAAAATTACCAAAAATATTCAATGAATGCAAATAAAATTTTTAAAGAGAGATAGATCCATGTGACTATTTCACCTAATGCAAATTAAACTATCAAGAAGGGGAAGTCTGTATGCAACCCCTTTCTCTGAAAGTGGTAAAGGTGTGTCAAAAAAATAAATTCTAATAGCCTATATAAACTGAAGTGACATTTCCTTGTTGGCATAGCTTTCCTTTATATCTGTAGACAGGCCTACAGAAACTAACTATGATGCTAATGGTAACAAATGATTGTGGTAGTATCGTATATCTTATGGGTAGGGCAATACTAAGGAATTCTCTTACCTGGTTTAAGGGCTTGGAAGTGCCTAGAAATAAGCCCCTGTGTCTCAAATCTCAGAACCAATTCAATACAACCATAGTCAGTTGGACAAGACACAGGTGAGAAGTAACGCAGCTGTTCCTTCCCCTTGATGGTAACTTTAACCTGAAAGAGATATAATGATACTGTACTTATCTAAATGCTTAAGACTCAATGATGAAACCAAAACTCTGAAAATGAGAAGCATATTTCAGTTATATTGAATGATCAAATTTATTAAAACTAGTAGATTAAAAGGTATTGCAATAAAATACAATAAGCATGGATAATACAGGGCGTTACATTTATATCCGACACATTTGTAATTACGGCCAGAAGCAGTATTAGCATAGCTACGGTAATTATTTTTTCCCTGTCTTACAGGTAATGCCAAAAAGTTTCGAATGATGCATCACTAAGACCTACCAGTGAGAATTAACCTGGTGAAGCACTTCATTCAAACAAATTCCACCACTCAAATGCAGTGGAAATGCAACAATTCTAATGGGGCCCATTTGTCAGTTATAATTTTTAAGACATAAACAGTGTTATGTCACCGCTTACTAGCCACTTGAGCGCTCTATCCAGTGTTAGTACAGGAGGAAACTGGGGACCGGGAAACCTGTGGTGTTTGGTATGGTCACACTGGATAACACCCTTCTCATGTGTGTCCGAGCCGAGACTTGAACCCTTGACATATTGGTGAGAGTTAAGTGCATTACAGCAGTACCACCAAGCTGTACCAGAAGCATAAAAGTAGTCTCACTGCTGATAGCTTATTTATCTTCACTACAATGTTATTATTCCAGTGTTACTTTGGTTGGAATAAAACTACCAGAGATTCTCTAGTTGGCTAATTCAACATACAAGTAAATTCTGAATGTCTTTGTTATGACCTCTTGGACCTATTTTCACCTTGCATCTTATCAGCATCTTTCTAAAAAAAAAAAAAAAAGCACAGGTGTTTAGTAGTCAACCCCTTGATAAGTTATTCTACACATAATGTGATGTGGGTGGTTCACTTACCACAACATACTGTCCAGCAAAGCATCCTGTATGGTCAGTATCATGAGGCAGAGAGAAAACAAAAGCTCCCATCTTGTCACTCACATTAGTGTATGACTTGAGGGTAAGTGGTACCCATTTGTCAGGCTTCAGTGCCGGGGCATGACACACACCATCTTGTGACTTGATGATCTGCAATACCCAAATATATTAATTACAGTTGCTCCCCGACTTACGACGGGGTTAGGGACGGACATCCAGGTCGTAAGTCGAAATGGTCGTAAGTCGGAAATGCTTAAATAATGCATAGAAAATCGAAAATGGGTCTCTCTTTTTCTTCTCAGCACCACAAAATACTCACTTTTAAGCTTGCCAGCCATTGATATAATTTACACATACAACAGTAAGGACAACAATGTGCGTGTGTGCTCTGAAACAGGAATGTCACATCAAATTGTAAAGCTACGGAAGTGAAGTCGTTCATCAGTCAACTTCTCTTTTACCAATGATTCGGACATTTCTCCTAGAAGATAACAAGTCCTGCAACTGTAACTACAGTATATATACTAGTACAGTAGAATTCCAGTTATCCAATATCTGGGCAACTGGTAGATTCAACTAACTAGCACCTAAATTAAATAACAATGAAAATAAAAATTCCTCCCAAATGAGTGATTAGTGTAAGTTTTAATACTGAACACAACAGGGATTAGCTGCCATATTTATTGCTATGGTAAGCAATAAAATCAATACATAGCATATCATAAAGTACAACAGCACATACTTCATTTAAAAAAAAAAAAATTCTCGGCCTGAAAAATGCGCTATGACGGCAGGTGTGCAGATTTTGATGGAGGCGTGATAACGAAAATCGCGATAACCAAGTGTGCTATAACCAAGGGATGACTGTACCAATAAATGTGACAACTGAGCCGGCGAGCAGGCCACAGTTATAGCCCACCATCACCACACACGTTCATTTCCCACACATCCATGCTCTGCATTTTTCTTATTTTATAGTTTTATATTATATTTTCTATATTTCTAAGCCACATGCTGTACTTTATAGTGGAATAAGTGTTAAAGTCCGTTTTTCTGACACGATTTTGTAAGGTCAGCCTGTACCACTGTGCATTGAAGGATTATTGGAGGATCCTAAGAGTGAGTTTTAACTAACCAGAAATTTTTTTATCCAGCACCTCTCAATCCCCATAGGTGCCAGATAACTGGGATTCTACTGTGCTGTATATACAGTGACCCCTCGTTTAACGAACGCCTCGGTTAACGAAATTTCGGTTAACGAACTGCCTTCCATAAGGATCTTCAATTCGGTTAACGAACAAAAATTCGGTTAACGAATTTCTTACGAACCGACCTCAACATGTTTTCGCTTGCACTGGCCGGGCAACCAGCTTTAGTATCAGTCCGCCAATACATTAATCGGTTCTAGGGCTTAAATTTCTAACTATTTTAGTAAATATCAAGAAGTTTATACTATTCAATAATTTTAAAAGTTTAATATTCAATTTTTTAGTCATTTTAACAATTATTGAACATAATTGAAGGTAAAGTGACTAGTTTAAAGCGCAGCATCCAGCCTCTTAACACAGCAAACAGGCGCTAGTCTCTCTGTTTTCACTGTAGGTAACATCTTGCTTGAGACTCTCTTCAACTAAACGCTTTTTTCTGTGTTTCCAAGCAAATTATTGGTCATTTTGAAATATATTTTACATATTGACATTATATAATGCAGTACAGTGTTGATTTAAAGAAAATAATCTTGAAATACACCAAGAGAACTAAAATTTTATGGGTGAAATGGTGCCATGGGGTGACTTCTCTTCCACCCCAATGCCTTCTCTTCTTCCTTCTCCTCCACCCCCATTGTAATTCCCATCATCATCATCATCATCCAGGAGCCTTCTACATACACACCTCAAAGTAAGTGAACTTTTCTACCATTTTTGTTGAATTTAGGAAATTTTCGGTGAGCTGGAACCAATTACCCAAAAACTCATTGAAACAATGGTTTCGGTTAACGAACTTTTCGGTTAACGAACGACCTTCTGGAATGGATTGAGTTCGTTAACCGAGGGGTCACTGTATTTTATAATTAATGTAATTCAGAATTAGCAGATAATGTATTGTACAAGAAGACTTCAAAGTTCACTTTTACCACAATACACTTAAAAGCCCATTTAACCTATCTGTATTAAATGAGACTTTCCTGAAGGGTTATAACTGATGAATTCCTCAAATAAAAAAGAAGTGTTAAATTCGTGTGGAATGGTGATAATGAATGTATGTAATGTGCACATCTGTCTAAGCAACAGTGGGTAGTTCCAAACCATTCAGTTGGCTCATAGCCATTCTTTTTGCTACCTTACATCAGCTGCTGGACAACAGGCAGTGAAGGAGTTCACCCTTCATCATCTGCAGAAGGACAGTTCTCACCTTATCATTAACTGCAGGAGGGCAGGTGTGAAAGGGGTTTTCAAAGTCAGTTTCTTGGAATGGGTGTTTGTTTTCAGCTCCCTTCTCTAATTCCACATCTTCTGCAAGACTTTTGGCCAACTCTTGCTTCTCCTCCAAGGTCATCTTCTTAAGCTCCTGATGGATAACTCGCTTGTTGACGTGCTGGTCCCTAGCAAAGAAAAGAAAGACCATTTTCATGTCTATTGTAGTTTAAGTATCAACAATATGGAACTTTATTCTCTAATGGTAAAAAACTAGATGATAAAAATACACAATTGTGGGATACAGCATGCTCTTAAAATTCACAGGGGTTAGGTTCTCAAAATGGCCATGAATAGCCAAATCCCCAAATAACACTTGTTGAATAGGGGGAGGGTACATTTTTACTCGTGTGCAAAGAAATGTATATTCCCTTTGTGTGTTTGCCCTAACAACAATTATTTATTTTAACTGTATTGTATATATGTGTGTGTGCGTGTTTATGTGCACGCATGCTCACGCACACACACACAGGTAAAAGAAATTACTGTCTAGAGCAAATGGCTCCTTGTCCCAGCCACGAAAATGCCAGCAACTTTAAAACGACCCTTCGACATTCTTGGGTACATCCAGGATGTCATAGTAGTGAGATACTATACATGCATTAACCCGTGTACCACCAACACCATTTTTGTAAGCTTATTTCCAATTAGGAAATATAGACAGATGTAAACTAATCAAAATAATATCATAAAAAAATAACAGTAAAAAAGTATTCCATGATAAATTATGAAATATGGAGTGGTCTCAGATGACAAATTGCATGGTGGTAAACAAGGCTTGGTTAAAATTAAGAACTTCTCTTACTGATTTTCTTGGGGATACAATATCATGAAAGGAAGCATAAAAAAAATTCAGAACTGAGCTCAAGATGACTCATGAGATATTGGTGTCTAACAAACACAAATATTAACTCATCAACTCATGAATAAGATAAGAGACAGAATAATTAAACATTAAGATTAAAGAAACTAAAAATACTCACCGAAAGTTCTGGCAACATCTAAATTTAATATTAATAATAAATGTTGCCATGATGCCTCTGCAGTGGTAAATTATTTCAACTCCTACACAAGTTGCTTCATCATTAAACAGTAAACCACCAGTTGCCTCAAAGACTGGTACACTGATACCTCGGTTAACGAGATTATGGTTAACGAGTTACCTTCCATAAGATTCTTAACTTCGGTTAACGAGCAATCCCCTTTAGTATTAGTCTGTCAATACAGTAATCGGTTTTAGGGCTTAAATTCCTTACTATTTTAGTAAATATTAATTAGTTTATACTATTCAATAATTTTAAAAATTTAATATTAAATATTTTAGTCATTTTAACAATTATTGAACATAATTGAAGGTAAGGAAACTAGTTTCATGCGCGCCATCCAGCCTGGCAACATACCAAACAGGCGCCAGTCTCTCTGTCTTTTCAGTGGAGGTAACATCTTGCTTGAGACTCTCTTCAACTAAACACTTTTTTTCTGTGTTTCAAGCAAATTATTGGTCATTTTGAAATTTATTTTACATATTGACATTATATAATGCAGTGCAGTGTTGATTTCAAGAAAATAATCTTGAATTACACCAAGAGAACTAAAATTTTATGGGTGAAATGGCACCATGGGGTGACTTTGCAGCGGATTCCTCCCCTACAAACAACGCGTGTCACTGACTGGCCGACCCCCCGCGAATCTACCGGCGTATCCCTCGTGGTCAAGGTCAGGTAACCAGCGACGCCGTACAAAGCGGGGGCCCACCATCAAGCCACGCCTACCCCCACTATATAAGACCTGACCTCGTGGTGACCTGTCTCTTTCTACTTACCGCCACCAGCAAGCAACATCCCTCAACAGCTCCACACACACGCTACCTCAGAAAGCTCCTCGCCCTACAGGAACTCTGAGCAACCTTCGCCCGACTTAGTATCTCTTTAACACTGTGCTGTGCAACAATATATATACGGGAAACTCATTGTGATTTTCTATTCCTACCTCAATCCTGAGTGTTGGATATATTACATGTACGTACGTTGTGAGGCCAAATAAGAGACCCTGACAACCTGCCACAACAGTACGCTACAACTTCTCTTCCACCCCAATGCCTTCTCTTCTCCCTTCTCCTCCACTCCCATTCTAATTCCCATCATCATCATCATCCAGGAGCCCTCTACATACACACCTCAAAGTAAGTGTACTTTACTACCTTTTTGTTGAATTTAGGCAATTTTCGGTGAGGTGGAACCAATTACCCAAAAACCCATTGAAACAATGGTTTCGGTTAACGAGTTTTTCGGTTAACGAGCAACCTGCTGGAACGGATTGTGCTCGTTAACCGAGGGACCAGTGTACTGTAAATTTTTAAGCTTTTAAAAATGGAAGATAGAAAGGAATTATTCCCAACTGTTTTGAACTCTATAACGTATTAGAAGATTTTGTAATAAAAGAGCTAAATAAATTGAACCCCTATAAGAGCACGTGTATTAAAGACATCCCAACCAGGATTTTAGCCCCCTGTCCCATACTGTGCCAAACAGGAGTAAATTTGCCAAAGTTATGCCATTTTCAAGAAATATGACAGATCACATGTAAATAATTATACAAGTAATCCTCTCTGTATCCATCACCTAGTCTAGCTGTTGTATTACACTAAATTTCAATAGAAATAAAGATTGCAAAAAATTTTAGGAAATATTTTGGGGAAATGAAAACTCCATCATTTTTCAATATTTTGAGAATTCTGTCAGTTCCATAAAACAGGAACCACTAAACATAAATACCCATAAAATAAATATATAAAGTACTTACCAATAGTCAATAGCTCCAGAACCTAGTAGAACAAATTTGCCGGTATACTGGCGTAACACCTCATTGGATGGTCCCATGACCCACCCAGCCTTGCCATCCCGTAGAAGGCGCTCTATACCCAAGTCAGTCTGCAGTGCCAGGATAAGTATTAATCTTTGACAGTACAGTAGATGGTTAACTGTTCAATAATACCATGTCACTTTCAGGGTCACAATTCATTTACCTATTAAAGTACAATAGGAATTATAATGCCTAAATCTAATTGTACCACAGTTAGGCAAGGTGATTCTGCTTTTTGGTTCATACAGTATCTTCCTAAATACAGTATTTATGAATCTGATTACTTACACACCGCTATGCATATCACAAACCCATCAACAGTATGGGCCACCACCACTTACTCAAAATTCTAACAGTGCTATACCTCTACTACTATATTTGTCGTGGTCATCTTACCCTATATATATGGTATATTTTTATAATTTCTCTAACTACAAAACTCTGCAATCGTAAGAAAGTAAGGTGTCTAGTCCATTATACAGAACATCCCTACTTTGATGGAAATGAAAGTCTCCAGACACACTGTACTTCTTTCCTCTGTAATTGTATGTACTGGTACTCGTATTACACTATTTTCTACTTTTATGGGCGTTTCTCTTGCATTTATTATCATCACTGATTTACTGTTATTTTTCACATTTCCGTGAGTTAGCCATGATTTTCTGATGACAGCCCTCCAAGCTGCATGGTCTCTTTCAACAGGTTCTTATCTGTAAGATACTTTCTCACAGCCTCTCTCCATGTAATTTTTGGCCTACCCCTAGTTCTCCTTCCCTCTACCTTCAATTCATGCATCTTTTGACCCAATTTGTCTCCTAAAACTCTCTCCATTTACCTGCATCATTTCAGCCTACTTCTGCACAGAACCACTCCAATGCTCTCAATACCCAGCTACTTTCTTAGCTCAGAATAGGGTTTCCTATCCCTCAGCACCACTTGTAACTCTGGTAACTGAGCTAGCTTCTGCACTTAAGTTAGCAACATCCTGCTGTCTGCCATTTACACTACTGCACCATTGTGTACCCACCTTCTATACTCACTGCACATTATCAAATAGCTGCTTACACTCTTCTTACAGATACCACATGCCCATTTTCCACATTCCATCCTTCCGATTCTTATATCTTCAACTTTCTGCTATCAACTGCCTGAGTAGACAAGGCATAAAATCTTGCAATAGTACCTCTTAAACCATGATAAACAGAGGTGCGGAGGGGTTCAGGACAGACCCTTGATGAACCTTTATTTTCACCTCAAATTCCTCACTTTCCCAGCCACTTACTCTTGGAGGTTCTCAAGCCCTCATACAATATCATAACTACTCAAAGAAGACACTTCTAGCTATGGATGAATTTTGTACAGTAAATGCAAGACTCGCCCCAAAGCAAAATACCTGATATTATGTAATGAATGTGTACTTGGGCAGTGTGTTTACACGATGATGCTCAGCTGCTAACAGAATATTTTTGCAAATACCTGTATTCGTGGGAGCCAACAATAACATCCTCCCTAATTTTTCCCAGCTTTATGCAATCTTCTTCCATATCCTGATGTCTGTATACAAGGCACTTGACATTAGATTAAGTTTTGCTATATTAAATAATTATTCATAATCAAAGGGCCACATAAGGAAAATACATTAAATACACTTTACAAAATGGAAAATGAATATACCCGGTAAATCTACTATAAACTATCATCGGTTATCATTCCAAAACCCAAAGAGATAAATCTATAGAAAATAATAATTCATTTTCAGGTCACCAGTAAGATGAAAGTCTCCGGTACATGCAGTATTCACGCATCTAATAACAACAACCTTGCAAAACCTTTATTTGCAAAAAACCTTACCTTGTATCCTGTTCCACCACAAGCATGCAGCATCTTGTCTGTCACATTATTGACATTCTTGGCAGCATTAAATTTGGTCTGCCACAGCCAATGCATCATGCCTGCCCTGTAAAACACAAGATGAACTACTGTATCACTTTTCATCTCTTTCATAGACGGCATTCTTTTTAAAGTGTTCCAAACTTCAGGACATTTGAAACCTCGGTAACAAATGCAAAGCTGTTTTATATAGAATGGGAAATGTGAGGGAAAACACTTCCATAAATAAGACATGCAAGGAACGAAGAAGGAAATCAATTAGGATTGTAAGCAAGGGAGATAAAGGACTGAATTTCACTGTAGCATTATTTGACTTACAGGGGAGATATGGAGGAAGTGTGGGTCTGGTTGTTGTGTCAAATAACTTTAAACTGAAATTTGTCTACTAGGACTATGGAGTGCTTCCCTATATATGAGGATGAACATGGCTGTCAAAAGGATATGAAATTGTACAGAGGCAAAGGTAAAGGAAAATCCCAAAAGAAGAAATGTGAACATGGTTTCAGGAGAAGTAAAGAGTTAAGCAAAAACCAAAGATGTTGACAAAATGTTGGAGTTACTAAAAAAAGTGTGGTTGGGTATAATGTTATTTTTGGTAGATAAAGAACTTTTGGTGGCAAACTATGTAACAAATTTATATGTGACCCATTGTGCCATGAACTTGGAATGACAGTAAGAAAAGGGTATGGACCAAGTTAAGAGGGCAAATTTTTTGGACTGAGAATTGTGAACTCTTGAAACAATCCACTACAGTGGTTCTTAACCTATTTTGAGTCATGGACCCCTTTGAGAATCTGGTGAAAGCTATGGACCCCCTCCCTAGAAAAATGCACATAAGCACAACTTTGCATGCAATGAATATACTTTATTTTATTGAAAATTCATTGCCTCATACAGTGTATGACATACACAAAGTATGAATAAAGTAAACATTCTAGAAGTCAAAACCCAATGACAATTGTATGTTACCTGACATTGTACAGTAGCATCCCATGCCACCCTACAGATTTACTGGTTTTCTTCAGTAACCAAAAATACATACATAACATCTGGTATATATTGACGAAAATAGAACAACTTAATATAAAAATGTAGTGAATATAAATGTTAAAATTTATCTGACCTTCACGGACCCCCTGAAGCCCATCCATGGACCCCAGATTAAGAACCCCTGCACTAGAGTGTGTTGTGATGACACTGAGTGTGAGCTCTTTCAAGACCAGACTTGACCAACACTGGAGCAGGTTCAGATACCGTATTTTATGGCGTATAAGAATGTACTAGCCCCAGTCTTAACAGCAGAAGTATTTATATAAATGGGTTAATTACATTCGACTTGTATAAATATCACCCCCTGTAACTTTCCACTAGCTATGAGGTAGCATATTCAGAGCACGTGATAAGGTGTGCCCACGGGAAGTCACGTCACTTAGTGCTGAGTTAAGCATTAAGTAACCGGCTCTCTGGCCACCTATTGCGGGCATTAGTTTGATAACCCTGACTAGAGGAAGACGTTATTGAGAGCCATCGTGAATGGTTCCGTCTTCCCTCGAGGGAGGACGTCGGATATATTCCATTCTCCCTCAATGGGTCCCTACTCATTCTCACTCGCCGCTCATCGACATGACATATATACTTAGCAGAGCTATTTAACATAGCCTCCGTCTTCATTTAACATTCATAGCTACGGTGATTAAGTTACGGTGATAATCTTTTTTGAAAGTGTACATAGAAACCTTTTGTAATAAATACAAACAAAGGAACATACTGGATTTCACTACAGAAGATCCAACAAACTATGATCTATATTTTAGTATGTCTACAATATAAGGTAACGTGCTTCACAAGTGATTGTTTGAAGTTGTGACAACCCATGAAGGTTGTTACATATATGACCGTTTCACAAGTAACTGTTATATTCACTGTAACAGTCACCTCAACAGATACACAGTTGGTAAAGGTAAATATAATATGATCTCCCCATTACTGTGGCATACTGTTATACATCTATTAGTAAGAGAAGCAATTCGTTACAGATGTGCTATTTTTTTCTAAAAGAAATGGCTAAAAAAAATCAGCCTGCCTTTATATATGTGAGTTTGCAGTCTACCCCAAGCTAATGAATCCCCCTGTTGCTGTCACCAGTAGGCTAAATTCTACCTAACCCAACTCCAGAATTAAAAATATGTTATTGCTTACTTAAACACATTAGTGTCACCCCATCTGGTCCCCGAGATATGCTAGGGACTGTCAGTTGGTTGAAAATGTTAAAAGGAGGGCCACCAGACTGGTGCCTGCACTTCGGCACCTCAGCTACCCTGAGAGATTGGAGAGCCTGAACTTGCCTAACTTATACTACAGACGGGAAAGGGGGGACCTAGTTGAGGTGTATAAGCATCTCAGGGGGAACTACTCAGTTGAGTGTCCTTACTTGGAGCTGGTGAACGCTCGCCCCACAAGGGGTCACAGCTCAAGACTGAAGAAGCCGCAAGTCCAGAAAACTGTGAGGGCAAACTTTTTCGGAGTGAGGGTTGTAAACTCTTGGAACAATCTACCAGAGAGTGTTGTGACGGCACCGAGTGTGAGCTCTTTCAAGACAAGACTTGACCAACACTGGAGCGGGTTCAGGTACATTCAGGGACCAGTACATGCCCAGTATTTGCCAACAGTGCGTGACAAAGACGTGACCGATCACCCGGGCGGCTAGCGAGCCGATCTTTTGGTGAAGAAGATAAATGAAAAGGAAAAGTAATCAGAGACATGACCGATCGCCCAAGCGGCTAACAAGCCGATCATTGGCGAAAAAGTAAAAGTAAAAGATCCCTCGGCTAACGAGCGCCTCGGTTAATGAAATTTCGGTTAACGAATTACCTTCCATAAGATTCTTCACTTCGGTTAACGATCAAACCCTCGGTTAACAAATTTCTTAAAAAATTTTCCAAACATTGTTTTTGCCTGCATTTGGCGGCCCACCAGCTGTAGTATTAGTCCGCCAATACAGTAATCGGTTTTAGGGCTTAAATTCCTTACCATTTTAGTAAATATCAAGAAGGTTATACTATTCAATAATTTTATAAGTTTTACATTAAATTTTTTAGTATTTTTAACAATTATTGAACATAATTGAAGTACAGGAAACTAGTTTTTTGCGCGCCAAACAGCCACTCAACACACCAAGCTTGGCGTCAATTTGTTTACCAGTTCAGAGGAAGGAACATCTTGTTTGAGACTCTTCAACATAAATGCTTTTTTTCTGTGTTTCCATTCAAATTATTGGTCATTTTGAAATATATTTTACAAATTGATAATATGTAGCACAGTGCAGTATTGATTTAAAGAAAATAATCTTGAATTACACCAAGTGAACTAAAATTTTATGGGTGAAATGGCAGCATGAGGTGACTTCTCTTCCACCCCCACTGCCTTCTCTTCTCCCTTCTCCTCCACCCCCATTCTAATTCCCATCATCATCATCAACCAGGAGCCTTCTACATGTACACCTCAATGTAATTGTACTTTACTGCATTTATTTTTAGTTTGTATGTAATTTTCGGTGAGCTGGAACCAATTACCCCAAAACCCATTGAAACAATGGTTTCGGTTAACGAGCAACCTTCTGGAATGAGTTGTGCTCGTTAACCGAGGGACCACTGTATTATTATATTTAATTTATTAAAAAATTCTTAATGTAAATTTAAAAGCTCAGTTTTTAACTACTGTACTGATGATGATAACAAGAGATGATTAATGTCCATACGGCAAACACCCAACTCTTCAGAGGTAGCTAAGCAGTAATCATTTCTGAACTCTTACAAACATTACAATCTATTAATGCCATACCTGCAGTATTTATTTTTAAATCTACAAATACCCAATACAAATGAAGATTTACATGTAACTTTCTTTTCACATTTCTCTGTTAAAATTGCTGGCAGCATTGCAGCCAGGTTAAACTCGTCACTATAACTACCAGGTTACTGGTGTTATTGATGTTTTTCATCTTGTATTTGGGTAGATATACGTAACTTTCTTCATTTATTTATACTCCGTTAAACTCGCACACCATCCTACATACATTTTGTGAAAAGGTAAAAGAAATAATTTTCCTAAGGGGAAAGAAACATGTAAAGGGAATATACATTTCTTTACACACGAGTTAGCAGGGAGCGGGTGGAGATGGGACATTGGGGGGGTTGCTAAGGAATCGGTGTCTGCATTGCTCTGGTGAGCCAGGGACTAATATGCAAATGGCAACAACTGTGTTAAACCTTTACTTGACCTTTATGTACCAGCTTGGCAATACAGTACAGTATTTTTTGTTGTACCTTATTTGTTGGTATTATTTTTTTATTCCTCACCTTTACTGGTACTGTATATATTATTTTAAGACAATTATGGCTACAGGAGGAAAATACACAATTTTTTTTTCTAAATACTCCCTGCTAAAATAAGGGGGGGGTGGGGGTGTCTTATATTGCCATGCGTCTTATATTCCGTAAAACACATTACATTCACGAGCCAGTGCATGCTAAGTATTTGCCAACAATGTGTAATAGAGATGTGACCAACCACCCAAGTGGCTAAAGAGTCAATCAGTGGTGAATACGGTAAAAGTAAAGTAAAAGAGATGGCATGGTCAAAGGATGGCAATGACAACACTGATTAAGTATAGAGAAGTGGAATGACAAGAAAACAATGCAGAGGGGAGATTATGAGTGAGGTAGGAGGATAGTGTATACATTATATATATGGGAGAAAAGTATGGTGAAGATGTTGAAGAGCTGAAATATGCAAAACTGTTGGATACTAGGATTATATATATATATATATATATATATATATATATATATATATATATATATATATATATATATATATATATATATATATATATATATATATATATATATATATATATATATATATATATATATATATATATATATATATATATATATATATATATATATATATATATATATATATATATATATATATATATATATATATATATATATATATATATATATATATATATATATATATATATATATATATATATATTTCATGATGAAAACGTGATAAGATAAATCTTGATAAAATCACACGGGAAAATGGAAACAACGGAGTACCTTAGCTTTCGTCTTTATTCAAGACATCTTCAGAGGCAACTAGATTACATGGACAGAGAGAGGCTTAAATATACAGGGTGACCTAAAAACATGAGGTCAGGTCATAATGATGACATCCACTAATCCCCACACCAACACAACCGTAGAGGAGCTTAAGAGAAGGGTGGTGACGTGACTAGACAGGTCAGGTCAGAAAAAAGGGACCCACAAAATAACTGTCATACATCAAGATCAAAGGTTTTCAAAGCAGTTTTAACCTTGGGCCACTGACAAATAAATTTATGTAACATATTATCAGTTTTGAACTGACCATCACTAAGTTCCTACGATGTCTGCGTATTTGTGACTCTGAATTTATTGACGACGAATTTAAACACATTCGTTCTATTGCACAGAAACTTGGGTACCCTTCTGTGTTTGTTGATCGTTGCTTTAAAAGGGCTAAAAAATCCTTTCATTCCTCTGTAACCAGACAAGTTCCTACACTTAAGAATATTTTGACTCTGCCCTATCGTGATGAATTTGTCCCTTTAGTTCGGTCCCTCAAGCTTCTAAATATTAATGTTGTTTTTAAGTATGACTCAACCATTACCAATATGTTAATAAGGAATAGCCCAAGTTTGAATGTAAATGGAAGTGTTTATTGTATTCCATGTAGCCAATGTAATTGTAATTATGTAGGTCAGACAGGAAAAACACTGCAGCTCAGAATCAAACAACATAAGTATAATATCAGAACTGCATCTGAAAGCAGTGCCTTGTTCGTTCATGTTAGGAATAATAATCACCCCATTGCTTGGGAAAAAAGCTTAGAAGTATTCAAATCATCTTGTGTCACAGAAAGACTTCTGGTTGAAGCTAGTTTGATTAAGGAATTAAAATCAATAAACCTTAGTGATGGTCAGTTCAAAACTGATAATATGTTACATAAATTTATTTGTCAGTGGCCCAAGGTTAAAACTGCTTTGAAAACCTTTGATCTTGATGTATGACAGTTATTTTGTGGGTCCCTTTTTTCTGACCTGACCTGTCTAGTCACGTCACCACCCTTCTCTTAAGCTCCTCTACGGTTGTGTTGGTGTGGGGATTAGTGGATGTCATCATTATGACCTGACCTCATGTTTTTAGGTCACCCTGTATATTTAAGCCTCTCTCTGTCCATGTAATCTAGTTGCCTCTGAAGATGTCTTGAATAAAGACGAAAGCTAAGGTACTCCGTTGTTTCCATTTTCCCGTGTGATTTTATCAAGATATATATATATATATATATATATATATATATATATATATATATATATATATATATATATATATATATATATATATATATATATATATATATATATATATATATATATATATACATACACACAGTGAACCCTCACTTTACGCGGTCAATTGAACCCACGGCGGCCCGCGTAAAGTGAACAACATAACATATGGGATTAATTGGAATAGAGACCGGGCCGACCCCCAAACTCCACTTTTTCAGACACAATACCTATGTTGTAGTAAAAATAACTTCTTAATTTTATGATGGTATGCACACACAATTAATAATTAAGAGAAATATCAATAATATTAGGTTTTTTAACACTTACGTTAGTAGAAAAGATGGCTGGGCACACTGGGATAGGGGGTTGGTTCCGAGGCAGAGGGCAGATTATTGGCCCTCACCTGTATCACTTGTATCAATTATATCACTATCCACCACAGAGGCTTGCAGGGCCTCTTTGTCAAACCCCTCAAAGTCCATATAAGTCCATATCCTCACTATCATTATCACTATCACTATCACTGACTTGGGCCGGCTGTGGTGGGTGAAGAACTCGGTAATGTTTTGATGACTGGGCGACCTTGTGCGCACCCTGCTCGCGCCGCTCTCCGCGTAAAAGGGTACACACACCGCGGAAAGTGAGCATTCCGGTTTCGGCAGGGTACCGCGTAAACGTGGAAACGCGTAAAGTGGGACCGCTTGGGAACTTCGTGTTTTCTTCTTTCCTTGTGGTTATCAGCATATATATATATATATATATATATATATATATATATATATATATATATATATATATATATATATATATATATATATATATATATATATATATATATATATATATATATATATATATATATATATATATATATATATATATATATATAGATAGTGTAATTACATCTTCAGGGGTGAGTAGACTAGAATCCATAGCGCACCTACAGTGATTTACTTGCATATATATATATATATATATATATATATATATATATATATATATATATATATATATATATATATATAATATATATATATATTTTTTTTTTTTTTTTTGGGGGGGTGGTGAGGTGGTGGCGTCGTCACTGTACAGGTATACAGAAATATTTCTAAGTCAGACAATAAAGAGCTACATATAAGGTGATATTAGTTGGGAATATATTTTCTGGTATAAAAGAAAGAAAATAAGAAAAATATTAAACTAAATATGGAATCAGAAAAATTTACCAATGTAATGATATGCTGGAGACATGATACAAGTTATGAAAGATCATCTTGGTTAGTAAACCTGCTAACCACTGAACATAGTTATCTTTAGGACTTAAACAATACAGCAGCTTTACAAGACCAGACTTAACCAACAATGGCGGAGGTACAGATACATCCTGGAACCAGAACACGCCCAGTACTTGCTAACGGTGCATAACAGACATAATCAACCACCCAAGTGGGTAATCAGTGATGAAGAGGATAAATTCAATAAAAGTAATGAACAAAGAAATACTGTATAAAATATTTGTAATAGTTTCTATCACTTCATCTTTACCATAAAATTATACAGCCATTTTCCATGCTTAGATGAATTAGTTGTGATACCTGATTACCAATCCAAGCTGCATCCTTCCTTGTCAGGTTCTTTCTTACTTATCTCTGAGGTCATTTCTCACTTATCTCTGAGGTCATTTCTCACACCCTCTTCCCCTCTCATTCTTGGCCTACCACTAGCTCTCTGCCCCTCCATATTCAAACTCCTGCATCTCTTGTAATTTCAAACAGCTTTAAATTGATTTTAAGACCTCATATTCATTTACTATTGTTAAAATGTCAATTGTTGTCTATTCAAATGTCATAATAAGACTACTGTACTATATTTTCCAATTCACAAAATCACTAGGACACTAAATCTGTGCATGCTGAACAGTATTCCAATAAACTGTATTTCATTACCTAGTCATCTTAATTTTTTCTGATTTGAGAGTGAAAAAAGGAATGATTTATATGGAATTCATAGGTGAGAGTCATGACCGACCACCCAAGTGGCTAACAAGCTGATCAGTGGCGAAGAGGGTAAAAAGTACAAAAAACAGTAAGCATAAAAATTCAAAACCATCATTGTAACACAAGATGTTATGCATATAAGTAAAAACAGTTGGTCTTGGAGGTAAGGGTCAATGGTCAATGAGCCTAAACCTTAATTTTCCCAAAAGGTTTTAGTCTCACACAACACAGTTTTAGTGTACAGCACACAGGGTTTTCAAGGAACTTGACCCCAATATAACTTACCAGCATTCTTAAAAAATAAAAGCATGTTAGTTACTAACTGCATTTATCATACATGCACATATACAAATGAAAAACAACAAATTAGCAAAAATTAAGAGATTGTCAGACAGTAATTAAATAATTTAAATACTGGATAAATTCCTTTCTTTACTTACAGAATATAATAATAAATTAAAATTTTAACCAATTGGAATTACATTCTAATTACAGTACTAGCAAATGTAAATACAGTACTGTACATCATGGTAATCTTGATCCATAATGAGTACCGGTAAGTTTTGGCAATAACAATCACACCCGCTGGCACCACATACAATAGATGCCGGATTAGTTACGTTTATACTTTAAAACATTTTCAGATTATACATGATTTTTCATGGGTGCACTATTAATATCATTGCAGCTAAAATCTATTGAGGATTTCAGTAAACCATGAATTTTTGGGCTACAGGTATGTACTGTACAGTACAGTATGTCTGTGAATTAAGATGCTTGGAGACAACAGCAGTCTGGGAGGAACATTTGGTGCGATTAAAAGTTTTTACACCCATCAGGCTCAACTATGTAAGTGAATTTATACTGCATATATAAACAGTGACAATGAACTTATCATATCTAAGCAAAATTATGCAAAAAAATACCACAAAGTGAGGAATTACTGTACAATACATGCAGATATAGTTTGGCTACTAACTAGCTAGCCACAAAAATTTTTTTGCTTAATGTTAAAACTTTATTTGTTCACTCTTATAGTTACCTTCTATTAAAATGTGGGCCAAGATGGAGTCCCCAGTCATTATTATTGGTCTTCAAGTCCAAGGCATTGGCTAACATAAATGAAAATGACCGTGATGCGTTGGTGTCACTTGTACATTCCCCAAAGTAATCCTGAGGAATGTGGAGTCCAATAAGCCTTTCATGGATTATGTTAAGAGGTAAATAAATTCTAGGATACACAGTTATAAACAAATGAGTTATTACATAAAACCATCTAAGCAATATTAAAGTTAAACACTTACATTGAAACCTGGGACTGGCTTGCATGGAGAGATGGGCATTAGTAGGAGTGACAAGAGGCTTTATTGGGATGGTTGAACTGACACTATTTTTGTTGTCATATATCTCTCCATAGCATCATAGGTATTCAGTACAGGTTGTACCTCTCTAGTCCGGCAACCTCGGGACCTGACCGGTGCCGGACCATGGAAATTTCCGTACCATGGAAATTCACCCTTTTCCTGGATAGATAGTGAATTGTGCTTATGCCTGGAAGCACTAGCACCACTTTCTCTGCGTCATGGTCTCTTTGAAGACATATTGAAGCGTTAAATGTCGTATAGTAGCTTCTCAAATTTCGCGAGTTTTTAATTCTTAATGTATTTTATTGAAACACACAAAAAAATAAATAAATAAAAATTTTGACGGCGGAAACTTGAATTTCGACGGGTTTGAACGGCCCGCCAACGTGCAGACGACGTGCATAATCGTGTAAACAGTGTCATTTCTCTTATGCACAAGAGATTCATTATTGTTTATTACTGAATGTCTATTTTATCGAATTAATGTTTATGTGTGCAAAATGAGCAATAAAATTCATTAATAATACGTAGAATATTAAAACACACGAGGAAATGACACAACATTGTTTTCGTTGATTACAAAACCAGTTACTGACTGGTTCTACATATAAAACTGAAGAAAATAAGACCTTGGTTGTAGCTGTAGTAAAATTAATATGGTTGTTTTAAGTAATGTTATTTAATGTTAATAAATGGAACAATAGAAGTAGCTAACAATAATGGTAAAGGAAAAAGAGATCGCATATGTAAGTGCGCATGCGCACACGTGAAAACATATCGTCATTACATTACATAAGAATATGAAAGCAACACTTATTTACTGTTCATATGTATTTTAATTAATGTTTCTGAATTTGTTTTTATTGAATTAATGTGCGTGTGTGCAAAATTAACAATACAATTTATTAATAATACGTGGAATATTAGAGGAGACGAGACCGCTGCCGGCATTGTTTATGTTAAAGCTTACGAAACCAGTGACTGATTGGTTCTACATATAAAACTGAAGAAAATAAGACCCTGAGTTTAGCTGTAGTAAAATTAATGTAAAAAATGAATATGGTTGCTTGAAGTACCTGTAATGTTATTTAATGTTAATAAATGGAACAATATAAGTAGCTAACCATTAATGGTAAAAAAAAAAGTGAGACTGCTCGTATGTAAGTGCGCACATGTGAAAATATATCGTCATTACTCTACATAAGAATATGAAAGCAACACTTATTTACTGCTCATATATATTGAAGGGTTAAATGTTGTACTCTGTATAGACAAGCAGAGAGAGAAGTGCTGCGGATGTAAACAAACCTTAATTTCCATGGCTTTTTTTTTTTTTAGGGATTAGTACCGGGCATAGGTCACTGACCCACAGGGCCTAGGGCAAAAATTTAATACTCCTGTAATAATAATTCAGATAAGTAAAAAAAAAGAAAAAAAAAAGCGTATCTACCTATTGGACAAACTAAAATCATTCCGGACCACGGGAGTTTCCGGACCACAGAATGCCGGACTAGAGAGGTACAACCTGTAATACCTCTATGAATTTTGCTGTGTTGGTATCTTGGTGTTTAAATTTAAACAATCCTTTTTCAATAAGCCTGAAACCATCTGTCATTTCTTTTGTAATGAATTACTTTGGTTCTGGGGTTTCATTTCCTACATCCTGACAAAATATGCTTCTCCAGTTCAATCAGGTCCTCATTGTATAATTCTTCAGCATGAGACTCAAGCAACTGTGTGACATCATCCTCATGAATATTAAGCTGGAGTTGGTTCATAAGGTCTACCACTGTCTGTGTCACTTCCCCAACATCATTTTCAAAGCCCCTAAAATCTTGGATAAACTGTGGGCAGTTTTTTCCAAACACCATTTGGCCTAACCTTGAACTAATTAATCCAGCCCCTACTAGCAACAAAATCTTCACCATCACTTTTTTCACCACGTTTAGCCTTCAAGTCAACATGCAAGCTTCTCACGTTTTACGGAAACCAGGCTCGACTGGATGCAAATGCCGTTGATTTTGATCTTCCACCCATATCACTAAGAATCTTTCTATTTCAATTAGCAATCCACTTCTTTGTTTTGTTATCACAGTTGAATGCATTGGTGTAGATCCTTTTACCTATTCAAGAATTTTCTCTGTCTTTTAAAATTGTTCTGACCACTGACCGACTGGAGCCCAACACTTTACCACTGACCGAGGATGTTTTGCCTACCGTATATCTCGGCCTATAAGGCGTCGGGGTGCATAAGACGGCCCCCCCCCCAAATTTCCATTTAAAAAGTAGCTTTTGAGCTCTATTCGCTGTATAAGACCAGTACCCCAAATGTGACACTTACCCACTGACTCAGTAGTCCTTTACCAACCATCCTTGGTTTTTCAAAATAAGGCCAATTCACTTCAAGTAATGTCATCAAATGTTACGGCTGGTGTAGTGTAAACACTAGTGACGCCACTGAAGCGCTCTGCTATTTACCGTAACTGGAACTAATGTCTTATTAATAGGAAAATTTTTCCATTTACTTGATATATATATATATATATATATATATATATATATATATATATATATATATATTATATATATATATATATTATATATATATATATATATATATATATATATATATATATATATATATATATATATATATATATATATATATATATATATATATATATATATATATATATATATATATATATATATATATATATATATATGTATATAACTAAGAGGTTCTAGAACTTCGTGTAATTCATCTTCAGGGAGTCAGTACAGACTAGCAGTCTGTACTCACATGAAATAATTAGCATATATCTGTACCTACAGTGATTTACTTGCATATATATATATATATATATATATATATATATATATATATATATATATATATATATATATATATATATATATATATATATATATATATATATATATATATAATTATATATATACACATATATACACATATATACACACATATATACATACACACATACATACATACACATACATACATACATACATGCATACACATACACATATACATACATACATACACATATACATACATACATACATATATATTATATATCATATATATTATATATATATATATATATATATATATATATATATATATATATATATATATATATATATATATATATATTATATAAATAATATATATATAAATATTATATATATATATATATATATATATTATATATATATATATATATATATATATATATATATATATATATATATATATATATATATATATATATATATATATATATATATATATTTCATGTAAATCAATAGCGTGGATAAGATAAATCTTGATAAAATCACGGAAAATGGGCTAAGGTACTCGTTTGTTTCCATTTTCCCATGATATCAAATATATATACAATTATACTTATATGCGGTCAATGAACCCAGAGGGTCGCGTTAAGTGAAATCATGTTAGTGAACAACAGAACATATGGGATTAATTCCATAGAAACCGCCCGACCCCCAAACTCCACTTTTTTGAAGGCACATACCTATGTTGTAGTAAAAATAACATCTAATTTTTATGATGGTATGCACACAATTAATACTTAAGAAATAGAGAAATACAGTGCATGAAGTTAATGTCCATTCAAATAATGGACTCAACTCCCTCCCTCTCACACTACACAGCCGGCTAACAGATGGTGGGTCGGTCCCTCCTCCCCCCCCCCCCCACCAACGTCCCAAGGAGATGTGTGGATACCTCAAACTAAGTTAGAAAATATAATTGACATTGCTGGATTCCTTGTAAGACTAGGAATATTTTGGTATAAATGTCATATATTTTGCACAAAAATACCATAGTTACCTAAGAGAAAATTTTTATCTAAAAATTGTAAGTTTAAAGCAAAATATATGATGTTTATATTCAAAATGATCACCAAATTATAAGAATTCAGCAATGTAAATATATTCTGACGGGTAATTTGTATGAATTTTATGAGCTAAAACAAATATCTTCAGTTAATAAAAAAAATAATCTTCACGACACTATCTGTCAATCAAGTACCCACCTTGTTCCCCCCTCTCTTCCAACCGAATGGTCAGTCCCAACCCTCCCCCACCCCCACCAATCCTCCTTCCAGAGTTTTTAACATTTAGTATTAAATAATACCTCAGATTAAAGTTAGGATAATATAATTGACATTGCTGGATTCCTTGTAAGACCAGGAATATTTTGAATATAAATGTCATATATTTTGCAAAAGATACCATAGTTACCTAGAGAAAAATTTTATCTAAAAATGTAAGTTTAAAGCAAAATATATGATGTTTATATTCAAAATGATCACAAATTATAAATTCCAGCAATGTAAATTATATTCAGACCGGTAATTTGTATGAATTTTATGAGCTAAAACAAATATCTTCAGTTAATAAAAAAAAAATATTCTTCACAGGGTAACAGATGGTCGGTTGGTCCTCCTCCCCCCACCCCCCACCCCATCCCAGAGATGTGTGGGATAACCACTAAATTTTAATAAATAATACCTCAAACTAAAGTTAGGATAATATAATTGACATTGCTGGATTCCTTGTAAGACCAGGGAATATTTTGAATATATAAATGTCATATATTTTTTGCACAAAAGATACCATAGTTACCTAGAGAAAAATTTTTATCTAAAAATTGTAAGTTTAAAGACAAAATATATGATGTTTATATTCAAATGATCACAAATAATAAGAACAATGTAAATTATAACTATTGAATTTTATATGAGCTAAAAAGGGCAGTCAGGC